AGTTAAACATATCCATACCAAGACACGTTATAATTAAAATGTCAAGAAATAAACACAAGGAGAGATCTTAAAAGGAACAAGAGGGGAAAAAAATTATTATATACAATGAAACATGCATAAGACAATCAGCAGATTTTTCAGCAGGAACTTTGCATATCGATGTTTCTTTACTTCTGTCTCTCTCCCTCCATACAATGGAATATGTTTTAGCTTTTTTTTTTTAAAGGAAAATTCTGCCCTGGCCAATTGCTTAGTGGTTAGAACACTGGCCCATAGACTGAAGGGTTGTAGGTTTGATTCCTTTTCAAGGGCATGTACCTGGATTGTGGGTTTGCTCCCTAGCCCCAGTCAGGGCATGTGCGGGAGGCAATCAATCAATGTGTCCCTCTTGAACATCAATGTTTGTTTTTTTCTCTCTGTCTCCACCTTCCTCCCTTCTACTCTCTTTCAATGGAAAAAAATATCCTCAGGTGAGGATTTTTAAAAAAGGGAATTCTGACACATGCTACAACATGGATGAACCTTAAAGGTTTTTATGTTAAGTTAGAAGACTGGTCCAGATGACCTTAACCACTCACCTAACTGCAATCACATGCAAGATCCTGAGCCAAACACTACCCAGCTTAGCCCAATCAAACCACAGAAGTGTGGGAGATAATAATAAATGATCTTAAGTTACTAGGTTTTAGAAGGATTTGTGACAGTCATAGATGACTGAAAAATATTTTATAGTAATAAATTCTTTTAAGCTACTAAGCTTTTGGTTGTTTGTTGCATAGCCATAAATAACTACACCTGTTTCTAAGTAATTAATAGAGCAAGTAGGTAAAGTTAATAAAGATTCAGAATCTCTGAACAACACTATTGTAAATGGAATTTATCCCAAAGCATAAAAAATAAAATAAAACATTTTCAAAAGTCCATGGAATATTAATCAAAAGAGACCATATGCTGAGCCATAAAAAAAATATCAGAACTCTAAATTAAAAGTTAAAACTGTTAAGCTTAAAAAACAAACAAAAAACAAACAAACAGAAGTCTAAAAAGGTCTTCAAGACCTTGGGACAGGCAAATATTTTTTAAGTAAAATACCAAAAGCAGTAATCATAAAACCAAAAGCTGATAAAGTGGACTTCACCAAAATCTAAAACTCCCCCACAAAAGAAACGAATAAGAGAACAGGTAAACCGTAGACTAGGACAAAATAGTCACAAAATATATATCTGTATCTCACAAAGGAATTATATCCAGAATAAATGAAGAACTTCTACAATTCAAAAATAAAAAGACAAACAACCTAAATAAAACATGAACAAAAACTTTTAATACACAATGCACAGGGGAAAATATAACCTATAGAATAGAAGTCCATGAGAAGATGCTCATAATCTTTAGTTATTAGGAAAATGTGAAAAGAACCACAGTGAGATACTTGTATTATACATACAAGAAAATTGTTAAAATTTTAAAGACTAACAATAAAAATGCTGATGGCATTTGGAAATATTTGGCATTTCTTAAAAAGTTAAGCATACATTTACTCTTACTATTCAACAATTCCACTTCTCCATATTTATCCAAGAGAAGTAATATAGGTTCAAAAAAGGTTTGTATAAGAATGTTCAGAGCAGTTTCAATCATTACAGCCCAATGTTGAAAACATATTACAGTATATTTATAAGAATGAATACCATCAGCAATGAAAAGGAACAGACTACTGATAACCGCAATAGCATGGATGAATCTAAAAAATGCTTTGCCAATCAAGAAGCCAGACACTATGACTTCATCTATAAGAAATAGCAGAACAAGCAAAATTAATCCATGGTGATAGGATTTTAAAAAGTGGTTGCCGGAGAAACCAAGATGGCAGCATAAGTAAACACCTAAACCACTGTCTCGCACAACAATTTCAAAACTACAACTAAAAGACAAAACATCTATCACTCAGAACCATGGGAGAGCTGACTGAGTGGAAGTTCTACAACTAGAAGGAAAGAGAAAAGAGCATTGAGACGTGTACCAGTGCTGAAAAGCTGAAGTATGGAGGTGCGTGAATTGGGCTGCAGGCGGGTATCTGAGTGTGCTACTTCTTTCAACCTGAAGGGAGACAAGCTCCTGATTACTCAGCATTTCGGGAGAACGCTGGGGACCCAAACTCCTACAAAGAAAAGCTGGACTGTCTGTCATCAGGTCAGAAAGTGAGAGGGACTTTCTTGCAGAGGTGCATGCAGGAATCATTGTTTACTGCACTGGGGCGCAGGAGGCAGGGAAGTGGAAACGCTGAAAGGCAGAGAAGGCTGATTGGCAGCCATCACTTTTTGCCACACCCTAGTCTAGTGATTCTTTGAGACCCCACCCCATTTATATGCAGCTTTTGCATATAAATGGCCTGCCCTATCACAGCTTAACCAAACAAACTGCAACTCATGTCAGATAGCTCCAAAACTTCCAAACCCCAAGCAAAGAGTAGAAAACCATAGTTCTTGCTGTAGCTCCAACTGGGTGGCCTGAGACAGTAGCTGACTTGCACCCCATTGGAGATCCAGAAGCTAGTATATCTACTGGTCAGGGTGAGACAACACCAGATTTCAACTACTCACATCCTTAAGTGACACACTCAAGAGCACCAAAGCCCTACTGAAGCAAGTCCTGCCCCATAAGCGTGTCTCCAGTGCAGCAGTTCTTCCATTATAGACACAGCGGATCCTCACAGCCAATTGGCCTGGAGGTCAATTCCTCTCAGTGACACCAACAACAATCAAGACTTAACTACAAAAGGCTGTACTCACAGTCCACAAAGGGGTACACCAGGAGTGTCCACCTCAGGTAACTGGGAGGCTGAGTTAGTGAGCCATATAGGACAGTGAGCCATACAGGACACCTAGCACACAAAGCCACCCTACCAACTCAGGGAAACAACAAAAATGTGGAGACAAAGAAACAGATCACAAATAAAAGAAATGGAGGAAAACTAAGCTGGATATAGAGTTCAAAACCATGGTTATAAGGTTTTTCAAGAATTTCCTAGAAAAGGCCAATAAATTTAATGAGACCCTTGAGGATATGAAAAAGAACCAACTAGAAATTAAACATACACTAATTGAAATAAAAAATATTATACAGACACCCAACAGCAGACTAGAGGAACGCAAGAATCAAGTCAAAGATTTCAAATACAAATAAGCAAAAACTCAACCGGAAAAACAAAAAGAAAAAAGAATCCAAAAATTTGAAGATAGTGTAAGAAGCCTCTGGGACAACTTCAAGCGTTCCAACATCAGAATTATGGGGGTTCCAGAAGAAGAGAGAGAGCAAGATACTGAAAACCTATTTGAAAATATAATGACTGATCATTCGTACACTCGCTGCTGGGGTCGGAGGTCAGAGTGAGCTTCTCGGGGACCACAGGAGGAAAATGGCAGTGGAATCGCACATCACCCAAGAAAAAATTAAGAAGGAACTGGAGAAGCCAATCGACCAAGAGAAGATGTGCCTGCTGCTGCTGTGCATCTTCACCACTAACAACGGGCGCCACGACCGCATGGACGAGTTTTCCCGTCCAGCAAGCTGCAGATCTACACCTGATGGATGCAACCCTGAAGAACTGACTAGTTTAGTAAAAGAAGTCTACCCAGAAGCTAGAAAGAAGGGCACACACTTCAACTTTGCAATTGATTTTACCGATATTAAAAGACCTGGTTATTGGGTGTAGATTGGCAGCATCTTGTCTGGGAGAAAGGGGACTGATGATTCCATGACACTGCAGTCTCAGAAGTTTCAGATAGGAGATTATGTGGACATAGCAAGCACCCCTCCAAATTGGGCACCCCCTCCTTCAGGGGCACATGAGGCCATATTAAATTTTATTGACAAAAAAGAAGATATAATGACTGAAAACTTCCCCCACCTGGTGAAAGAAATAGACTTATAAGTCCAGGAAGCACACAGAACCTCAAACAAAAGGAATCCAAAAAGGACCACACCAAGTCACATCATAATTAAAATGCCAAGAGCAAAAGATAAAGAGAGAATATTAAAGGCAGCAAGAGAAAAACAATTAGTTACCTACAAAGGAGCACCCATATGATAGTCAGCTGATTTCTCAACAGAAACTATGCAGGCCAATTGGGAGTGGCAAGAATTATTCAAAGTGATGAATAGCAAGAACCTACAACCAAGATTACTCTATCCAGCAAAGTTATCTTTCAGAATTGAAGGTCAAATAAAGAGCTTCACAGACAAGAAAAAGCTAAAGGAGTTCACCACCACCAAACCAGTATTATATGAAATGCTGAAAGGTATTCTTTAAGAAGAGGAAGAAGAAGAAAAAAGATAAAAATTATGAACAACAAATACATATCTAACAACAAGTGAATCTAAAAATCAAGTGAATTAAAAATCTGATGAACAGAATAAACTAGTGAATATAATAGAATCAGAGGCATAGAATGGGAGTGGATTGATAATTCTCAGGGGGGGAGGGGTGTCTGTGTGGGGGGTATGGAAAGAGACTGGACAAAAATCGTACACCTATGGATGAGGACAATGGGAGGGGAGGTAAGGGCAGAGGGTGGGTGGGAGCTGGGTGGAGGGGAGCTAAGGGGTGGGGGGGAGAAAAGAAAAAATTGTAATAATCTGAATAATGAAGATTTATTAAATTAAAAAAAATAAATTAAAAAAAAAAAGTGGTTGCCCATGAGTAGAAAAGATGGAATAGAGGGTTGGTGAAGAAGGGGTGCTGGAGAACTTCCTTGGGTGATGAAAATGTTCTGTATTTTCACAAGGTTGGTGGTTACAAACTAGTATGTATCAAAATGGACTGAACATAAATAAAATAGGTACTTTAAAAAAATTTTTTTAACTTATATTCATCAGCAGTCATCTGGCAACTTTTTCATTTCTTCCTCTAATAATGCAATTGGTCAGACATCAGATTCCACACTATTCTAGATTATGTAGTACAGTAATATTCTTCTAGCTTTGGTCTCACTTCTTACCTTGTTAACTTCTGGTGTCAGGATCTCTATTTTTCTTAAACGCTGAAAAGCATCATAATCAGTTTCTCCAAATAGTCTGATTGGTTCTCCTCTTTCTCTTAATCTTCTGATAACCTATTTTTTTTAAATCAAAAGATAGTGGTAATTCCTTATATTATTAGTAATAGCAATTCCTATTTTAGGTGACCAAACTCTTATTTTAAAATTGCCAGTTGGAAAAGTTACTTTTTTAAACTTTTTTTTCGGAAAAAAAAAAAGTTTACTTTTTCTTTAGTTTTCCATGAAAAAAAATACCGAGTCATTTTCACACCTTAAATAGTCCTAATGGGTTAGGATTTTTGGCTGGTTCAGTAAAGTAACAATCTGTATAATCGAATACATAAGAAAAATATTAAGATAGTAGCAAGTGATAATATTCATATAGAGAAGGAAAATAAAGTTTGGAGTCAGTTGATAACTCAGCTGACGACCACAGCTAATGTCAGCATTGCAATACTACTTTTGAACCAAACCCTGTCCCTTAGGAGAGAAAGTGGGTATGATCAGGATGGGGCACATGCAGGGCTATTGAGGGGCTGATAATACTACTCTATTTCTTGACTTAGATGATAGTTATACAGGTGTTTAATAATTATACATTATATTAAACATATGTGTGATATAACATTATATACATGCTGTAGTTAATTAAAAGGAAAAACAAAAATTATAATTAATAAGTTTATCCAAATAAAAAATAAATATCAAGAACTTTACCTGGGAACATACTTAGAAACCACTGGTAGGGCTCCCAATGGATTAACTGAAGCTTGATATTAAAAAGAAACTTAAGAGTTCATGTACTGCTTGCTCTAATCAATGCAGAATTAGCCCCCAAAATCAACTGTCAGGTCACTGTCTGACAAATGACAGGAATCACATCTTTTCATGAAACAACCCACCCCATTTCTGGATAGTTTTGCTTCTCAAAATAAACTAAAATCTACCCCTCTTAAACTTCTACCCATTTATCTTAGCTCTACTTTATGGAACCACAGAGAATATTCAATTCCTTTTCAAAATTAGAGCTGTGATCAATAAACTCTTTTAAAAGTATTTAGGTTAATTATTCAAAAACACCTTCCTCTAATTTTCACATAACAGCTTCCAGAGTTAGCCATCCTTTTCTCTGAGTTTCCTTTGTTCAAAGTTCACTTTTGTTTTGTACCTTCTGAATAGTCTGAATTCTTTATATCACATAAATATCCTTAAAAATATTTTTAAAGAAAATAATAATTGATCTTGACTAGGGTATGGGCAAACACTATGGAGTATAAACTGGTATAATTGAGACAAAGCACTCTTATGTATCAAGTCTTAGAAATGTACATACACTCCAGATATCATACTTCTAAAAGATTTTACAAAGGAAATAATCGTACATTATTATACATGCAATCATGTTTATAGAAGGATATTCCTCTTAGTATGATTCTTAAGAGGGAAATGCAAAAGTAATCTAAATGACCATTAATAAAGAATTGGCTTTAAAAATATGGGAAAGTATATGGTCATAAAAAATTATACATAGATATATTTTGGCCTAGAAAGAGATATTAAAAGAAAATAAGTTATAAAATAGTACATTAGTTAAAATAATTTAAGTATAGATATTTAGAATATATACATTTAAAACAGTGTTTAGCCCTAACCAGTTTTGCTCAGTGGGTAGAGCACCAGCCTGCAGATTGAAGGGTCCCATGTTCGATTCTGGCCAAGGGCACATAGACGGGTGGGTGGTGGACTCAATCCCCTCCAGTTCACAGCAGGGGGTGTACAGGAGGCAGCTAATCAATGATTCTCTCTCAACATTGATATTCTGTCTCTCCCTTTCCCTTTCTCTCTTAAATCAATTAAAATATGTTTTAAAAATACAGTGTTTAGTTTTTAAAGTTTAGAATGATAGATACTTTAAAGTTTAACATAACAGTATCAAGAAAAGCAGAGGTAATTTGCTAGTAGAACTCCATGAAGAAAACTGGCTACCTGCACAGTAACTGAGTTCAGTAGGTCATTTTATATGGGAAATAATGATAAACTATTAGGTAGAACTAAAGATAAATGAAAATGTTGTACAGAGTTTTTCGTTGTGTGTTTTTTGTGTGTTTTTTTCATGAAACTCTATATAGAAACTTACCTCTTGTCTAGAAAGGGTCATTGGTAATTTTTCCTCTGCTAGTTCAAGTTCTAATACTGGATTCGATGAAGTTAATGGTGTCTGGTCGTCCTCTTTTGGCTGTATCTATATTAACAGGAAAAAAAAAATTAGCTTTTAAAATATAGTTAAAATTTATCATTCTTTTAGATTAGCTGTTCAAGACAATTAAACATGTTTTAAATATTGAAGGTCTTCTAAATGTTCCTCCGAGGAAAGAGCTCATAATAAATATCCAGCTTTTAAGAGTTTACTAGTTTCAAACTTTTCAATTTCAGGGACAGCACACATAGAAAGCATGCACATCGGAGACAGCATTTTTGCTACAGAAAAGTGATATTAAGTGTAAAAGCCGTAAAACAGCTGAAACTTAGAATCACTTTCTCCTTCGACCCTAAAAACTTTTTTTTTCTCCCTTAAAACAATCAACCTGCTTCTCCTCCTTGAGAAAATCATCCTACAAGGTTGCCCGATTCTTGCCCTGGGGTTAAAATGAAAATCAATAGAAAGGAACTGCTTTCTAACAGAAACCTATAAAGCCTCAAGAGCCAGCTTTTTCCTATCCTTCTTTTGGAAAGGTATTATTCCAAGTGCACAGAAATCACTGTTGGACATATAGAAAAATTTCCAATGCTGCACAGAACTTTTCCAGAAAACTGAGCTACAAACCTTGTGAGAAAATAATGAAAAACAGCACCTCACTACTCATACCACACAAAGAAAAGAGTGAACATTCTTGTTGATATGAACCTGCAGGGGAAAAAATCTCTTCATATATTTTCTTGAGTCTGCCGCCCAAGTCACAGTTTGGGAAAACTGAGTTCAGCAATTTATAAGCCCATTGTGTGGTCTGTAAAAAGATATTGAAACATGGTTTCCCAACTGACCATAAGACAAATCTAAAATGTCAAAAGAAGATAAAAAACACACACAAAAGAAGATCAACTTTAAGGAAAAATTCAAAGGCTAAATGGTTAAAATTATATAACTTATGATTCTATAGTTTATGATTAACAGTAAAGTTTATCAGTATTAAAGACTGTAACAGAAAATTGAGATAAAAACTAAACTTTCATATTTTCACAAACCAAATCAGCATCAAGCCTTAAAAAAAATGGGAACTGGTTTCTATAAAGGAATGAAAATAATACATGCAATATTTTCATTATTAACAAGAAAAAAATACTAAAAATGTTTAAGAAAGAACCTGTGCTTTACTTTTAAGCACAAAAACGAATTATTCATAAAAAATTCTTAGGATGAAAAGTAGTTTTAATTAAAGAATGGCAGCTGGATTCAACATTACAAGCAGTACCTTTACAGTAATTATTTTGCTTCAGTGCTTTTCTCTATGTAAGCAAGGAAGTTCTGCACTATCACTGAAGCAACCTAAGCAAAGCAAAACTGCCACCACTGTTTTAAATTCTTTTCCTACCTTATCAAAAAGCTGAAAGGTTGAAATTTGTGGATCTTGGAAAACAACAAGTCAGCAGACTATACCCAGGGAAGTAATTCTTATTCCAAATCAAGTTGGAGTTAGACAATATGAGGGCAAGCAAAAGATGAGAATTCTTTCTGAATATATATCCAATGGTTACTAACACAAAACATTATTTTAATTTCCTAAATTAGAAGCAAATGAAATCAATATATTCATGGAAAATATCAAAATACCAATATAAATTTTCATATTTTAAAAACCTATCAGAAATATAACTACATTTTAAAACTTGCCCTCTCCCAATACTTCAAAATAAAACCAAATGCACATACATACCATTTGCATTATTCATGGGTCCCTCTAGAAATGCTATGTCAGATAAATTAATTTCCAGAACTTTTAACATGACATGCACAAGAGTAGTCTTTTATATTGGTGTTTCACAAGCAAAAAGTTGATTTCAAATTTATGATTTAGCAAACGAGAGCCTTCTGAAATTTGGCTTAAAAATTATTAAACTATAGTCTTTTTAAAAAAACTTAAACATAACTTTACTCATAACCTTTAACCCCTCCCAATAAAAAACCCCAATGTTATTCAACTAGGTAATCTCATAGATAATTTCAGTCATGCTTTTAAAATGTATAGTCTTCCAGACAACTCATTTGTTTCGAACAAATATTTCAATATTACATTTTCTATGTAATAGACTGAGCAGTGTTTGAAATGTGATTCCTTATTACACAAAAGCATGTAAACGTTATACGGCATTATACTTCAGGCAGAGGTGCTTAGGACAAAAGGAATTATTAACAATGTAAACCTAAAAACTGGTTTAAAATATTCAGTAGAAAGCAGGGAAAATACCATTGCTAATACCATTGTTATTATATGAATAAAATATTTTTAGCCCTTTAAAATTGGACTTTTATTGGGAGAGGTGGAATGAGGGAGTGGTGAGGAGATGAAAATGAGGCAGCATCAGATCCAGGACTTAATTTAAAAAAAGAAAGAAAAGAAAATCAAGCTTTGATCTCAAGCCACTTCATGCTGTCCACAGAAGGCCAAACCATTCCAAGCCAAAAGTCATGCATGTATTTTTCTGAATTCAAGATAAAAAAAATAAACAAAAATAAAAATTCATACCTCTCCAGATGGCTTCTCATTTATAGGCTAATGTATAACATTGACAAATTGAACAGAGATCAATAATTTTGTCACTTTAACAACAGCTGTATAAATTTAAACTCAGAAATAAGACAATGTAATATAAAAGCAGGGATTCATACCTTGTAGCCACATCTTTCATAATATGCTTCCTCTTCTTTTTTTGTAAGTTCACTACGCTTGAAATATTTTTTATTTTCCTATCAAAGAAGAAGTGAGTTAGTAATATATAATATATCCTTGCATAAAATTTAATGTCCCTAATCAACAACCTGAAAACACTGTTCAGTTTTTTCAAGAAATGGTGGGTTGCATTGCAATTACATTGATTTTCTGAACACACCACCTGTCCTCAATCTCTAGTCTAAATCTGAAGTACATATTTTTCTTGCAGTATCATTTTAACAGGCATATCCAATAGCAAAAAGAAGAAACCAACGATCTTTCCCAAATGTTCACACTTTTTATTTAACTTCCCAATATTTGAGTTCAGTGATAATCTCTACAAATGTATTTATTATGAACCACATAAAATAGAACGCTTTAATTTTTTTCTATCAGAAGTAACCAAACAGAAATTATGGTATCTATAACTAACATCTTACATCTCATTTCCAAGAGAGCTCCAAGAGTGTGTCCAAATTCTTTTCATCATCTAAAAACCCTACTGTATCAATTAACTGTATTTTATTAAGTCTTAAAATTGAATTAACCAACTCTTAAAATAATCTAGGCATAGAATGGTTTTAGAGCCTTTTTATTTATTTATTTATTTATTTATTTATTTATTTATTTATTTATTTTTAAATATATTTTTATTGATTTTTGTACAGAGAGGAAGGGAGAGAGATAGAGAGCCAGAAACATCGATGAGAGAGAGTCATCGATCAGCTGCCTCTTGCACACCACCTACTGGGGATATGCCCGCAACCAAGGTACATGCCCTTGACCGGAATCGAACCCGGGACCCTTCAGTCCCCAAGCCGACGCTCTATCCATTGAGCCAAACCAGTCCCGGCTAGAGCCTTTTTATTTAAAGACAGTTTAAAGGCATTTGTTTTAATATGATTTGATGTCAAAAGAGACAAGCTCTAAATCTATTATAATGATGGGGGGAAAAAACATTAGTTCTTTCTATACTATAGTATTATATATAAAATTATCCTTGATGTTAAACCTACAGTCACTAATTTGGAGGCTTGTTACTCTCTACAGCTCTTATTCCATTGATGACTTGGCTCAAAGATGCTGTCTTGCTTTGGTCAGTGAGGTTTAGTTGGTTGAGTGCTGTCCCATGCACCACAGGATGGCGGGTTCAATTCCAATTCAGGGTGCATTTCCCAGGTTGCAGGTTTGAACCCCAGTTAGGAGGCAGTCAATCGATATTTCTCTCTCACACTGATGTTTCTCTCTCTCTTCCTCCCTCTCTAAAATCAATAAAAATGTTTCTGTAAAAGCTACTGTCCTACTTTATTAGTAGTAATTATAATAGTACCCAGGTATTTAGCACCTCATAATCCACAGCTCATTCACTCAGGCAATGACCATAATGGATGCTAAGACCATTACAAGAAAGGCTGATGGTGAACAATGGGAAGATCAGGCTGCCAATATTAAACCCACTGATCAAGTTTGACATCAAGAAAACATTATGCACTTCCCTATGTACAGAAAGTATACAGCACCACAGCATTTAAAAAAAATTCTTTATTGTTTAAAATATTACATATCTCTCTTTTCCCCATTGACCTCTCTCCGCCCACTCCGGCCCCCCCAGCACAGACCCTCATCCCTCTACGGTTTGTGTCCATTGGCTGTGCTTATATGCATGCATACAAGACCTTGGTTAATCTCTTACCCCCTCTCCCACCCTCTTCTGCCTTCCCTTTAAAGTTTGATGGTCTGTTCAATGCTTCTGTGTCTCTGGATCTCTTTTTATTCATCAGTTTATGTTGTTTATCATATTCCACAAATGAGATGATGTGATATTTGTCTTTATCTGACTGGTTTATTTCACTTAGCATAATGCTCTCCAGGCTCACCCATGCTGTTGCAAATGGTAAGAATTCCTTCTTCTTACAGCAGCATAGTATTCATTATGTAGATGAACCACAGTTTTTTAATCAACTTATCTGCTCGGGGGCACTTAGGCTGTTTTCAAGACTTAGCTATTGTAAATTGTGCTGCTATGAGCATATGAGTGCATATGTTCTTTCTGATTGGTGTTTCTGATTTCTTGGGATATATTCTTACGAGTGGGATTACTGAGTCAAATGGGAGTTCCATTTTCAGTTTTTTGAGGAAACTCCACACTGTTCTCCACAGTGGCTGCACAAGCAATTACCTCATAGTAGTTACATCAGACAGAAGTTTTAGGACAAGTGACGGGCGGCTTAGGAGGCTTATCTTAGGAGCTTCTGCAGTTTAACAAAGGGGCAGTCACAAGGTGTTTATTATTTCAACTGTCAGACTAACAATAAAAAGCTAGGACATCACTTGAAATGATCAAGAATACAGGTGTTTTCCAGCTAAAGATATATCGGGCAATGAAAACAATTCAGTGATCTCCAATCAGCATTTTTTAAAAAATGAAACAGAATGGATTAAATAAAACAAATTATAGAATCACATGTAGTTAAGGTAAGAAGTATCTCAGGAAACTTTTTTCATATATATCAGAACAAAATATTTAAAAAATACATATCTTGCCGAAACCGGTTTGGCTCAATGGTAGAGCGTCGGTCTGCAGACTGAAAGGTCCCAGGTTCGATTCCGGTCAAGGGCATGTACCTTGGTTGAGGGCACATCCCCAGTAGGGGGTGTGCATGAGGCAGCTGGTCGATGTTTCTCTCTCATTGACATTTCTAGCTCTCTATCTCTCTCCCTTCCTCTCTGCAAAAAATCAATAAAATATATTTTTAAAAAAAATACATATCTTACTGTGGCTGGAGCAGTAAAAACGTATAAAAGTTACTGACACTATGATGCAGAAAGATAAAGGCTATAAAGTAACAATTTATATACAGTTATCAATTATACAGCTATAAATCAAAAGACTATTCCCATGCATACAAGAAAAGATTCTAGTTCCAAATATTCTCTTATACAGGCATGCCTTGAAGATACTGCTGGTTAGATTCCAGAACACTGCAATAAAATGAGTACTGCAATAAAGTTACTATGTAACTTTTTTGCTGGTGGAGGGTCTTCGCCCTACATTGTAAAAAATGCAACATTTGTGGGGAGCAATAATGTGAAGCACAATAAAATGAGGTATGCTTGTATTATTCAAGAGCACTCACTTACCTGATTCTGCATATATACACATTATAAACCTGGGGGGGAAGAGTTCAGCTTTTTGTGATTCAATTTTCCCTCTAAAGTACTTAAATTTCAACATCCTGACTTTCCTATCATCAACTATGCATCCCAACATCTAAATTACTTTTTTTAAGTACTCTCAAATCATTTATTTGGGGGGGGGGAGCGGGGGGGAAAAGGTCCTTAAGATATTTAATTACAAATATGGTCAAACTTTCCCCCTCTATCTACTAAATATATTCTATTTAATGAGCTCTGTGTTGCTAAGTATTTTTAAAGTTTCATTGATTATGAAATCAGCCATCCACCAAACAATTCCAACTTACATTAGATCATATATATTAATATTACATTACATCCAAGGACCTAGCAGATATTCTCCAAGTGTGGTCCTCAGACCCTGAGATTCTGAAGATCCTTTGAGAGAGTCTGTGAAGTCAACTCTTTTCAATACTAAGGTACTGTTTCCCTGTTCCCTCCGTGGTCATGTGTACTGAGGGTGAAAGGCAAGGGTAAGTCTCCTGGTGTCTTGGCAAGTATTCCTAAAGGACCTCTCATTTATAGGGACGGACGATGGTTGTCTGATGAGAAAGCACTTGTGTGATTAAACTGCAAGCTGAACCAGCTGCTTTTATCATGGAATATCATTTTCACAGGAAAGAATATCTATAGTCTATAGTAATTCAGACTTAACTTCCAAAAAAGTGAACAAAGTGAACCTGCCACTTCTGGGAAACAACTGACAGTATTTGCTGCCTATGATAAAATTCCAACTTTCAAGTGAAAAAAAAAAACACAAAAAAAAACCTAAAAATTGTGGCGGTCTTAGACCTGCTGTCATGAGCTTGACGGTGTTCCAATACATAAAGAAATTTCTCGTGATGTCCCTGTTGATATTAAGTATGTAATTTTTAAATTATGGTGTAACGAAGTATATCAACATCTGGAAGATCTGCATGACTTTGAACCAATACTTTCAAATCGTCAATGAATATGTAAGTATCTTTAAAGCTTCTCAGCTTTCATTTCTAATACAGTAAATATCGATAAACACTTAAACAAAAGCCCTTTGGGATCCTCACTAATCTAGACGCGTGTAAAGGGGTCCTCAAACCAAAAGCTTTGAGAACCGATTATCTAAGTTATTGTTCTGCAATAATGTAAATGGAGCTCAACTTAAGGACGTTCCTAATTCTTCCTCCTCTGTGTCCAGTGATTCTCAAAGTTTAAGCCTCCCTTTCGGTGAAGAGCTGACCGACAGACTTTTCCTATGAGTGTTGCGGGTGGAGGTGATAGAAAATGTAACAAATAACCGGCTTTACTAGTCGGAAGGAATCAAATACTTTACAAAGCTAATTCTGAGGCTGCCCTTTTTCTCTGGGTTTCAGTTGGGCACAAACCCTCAGTAAAACCTTACAGGTGAAGGGCCAGAGGAACTGGGGCGGAATTCCGAAGAATACGGACAGGTGGGCGTGCGTGTAAGGCACTGGGAACCTGCGCGGGAACAAGGGGCAAATGTGTGTGTGTGTGTGTGTGTGTGTGTGTGTGTGTGTGTGTGTGTGTGTGTGTGTTTGTGTGTGTGTGTGTGTGGGGGGGGGGTGTTTGCCAAAATCTTGGGTTTTCCTGCTACTCCCCCACTTTCCCCGGAGGCTGCCGAGTCAGGAGTGTAGGGAGAACCAGGGCAGGAAGGGGGGCCGGGGGTGTAAAGGGGTCCTCCCGGCCTCCCGCATCCCTCTCAGTTCCAGCCTGACTCCCAGGTCCCCGCTGGCCGCCCCCCTACACCCCGCGCCACGACCCCCCCTGCTCACCACCAACAGGTTCCTGTCCTCCACCAGCTGCCGCTTCCGCAGGATCTCCGACTTCAGGATGTCCATGTCGCTGCCCGGTTTAAGCCCGAGGTCCTCTCTCCGGCTCCTCCGGCCAAGCCGCCCCCGGCCGGGCGCAGCGAGTACGCGGAAACCGCAGCCCAAACACTGGAGCCGACACTGACAGGAGCCGCTTCCGGCGGAAGCTGAGGTGAGCGACGGGCGGAGAGAGCGCCCAAGGCGCCCGTTGCTGACAGAGCCGCTGTGCAGGAGCGGCCCCTAGCGGCACCATCGGGCAGCGCGCCTGCAGTGGTCACAGTACAAATGAATACGAAGGAGTCTTTCTGAACGGTGGGTCCGCCGTACCAGCTTCATTTGATCGATGACATTATACCTGCTAATTAAGGCCTCAAAACCTCCTAGCAGAAGACCCCAATTATGTCAAATAAGGACATATCCTTACTTATTATACCAGAGGTTCACATCAGAGTTTCTGAAGTTACCTGCTTGCCAAAATCAATGTACTAGTGAGTGAGCAAAAATCTGAATCCTATTTCCAGCTCATTAATTAACCTATCTAAATAAAAATGTAAATGTTCGTTTGTTCAAAATCTTAAATATCTGAAAGTTCTTCACTGATTGCTTTGAAATTTTGACACAACGTTGCATTCGCATACTCGCGTGTTTCTATATAGCTTATACCTATAGATGTCACACCTGTGACAGGTAAAAACATACTTTTTTGAAGAAAAAAAAAATACCGCCATCTGTTGGACATAAAAGCAACACACCCTATACTAAATATTTTACGATTCCATTTCAATGTATCCGATTTACGATCCATTTTTACGATTTCCAAATTTTCAGTTTTATGATTCCATTTCAGTGTTGATGATTGAAGATTTGTGCTTAGAAATCGCGAACAAAGTTCTCAGTCAGTTAGGAATGCCATCACTGAATTGATCTGCTGCTGCTTAGTTCGATGTAGAATTGCGTTGTGAACAAAATTACAACATAGGTGATTTTTTGTCACATGTGCAATCAAATATTCTTAAGCTAACACTTGAGCAAAAAGGCATTTACAATCAAATAATGCAAACTGTCAATAACAGGACTGGAGAAATAATCTTCTTAGATGCGCCAGGTAAAACATTCCTAATAGATTGATTCTGGCAGCAATTCGATCCCACAATGACATAGCCTTAGCTCTTGCATCATCTGGAATAGCTGTGACATTGCTACCAGGTGGAAGAATTGCTCCTTCCGCTTTGAAATTGCCATTGCACATGCAATTCATTGAAACTCCCATGTGTAACATTTCCAAAGCATCCGGCATGGCAAAAGTATTGCAGAAATGCAAACTTATTGTTTGAGATGAGTGCACAAAAAAATCGCTCAAGGCTTCTGATCAATCATTGCAAGATTTGCGTGGAAACATCAGACCATTTGGGAACGCATTAATATTGCTTGCAGGAGATTTCAGGCAAACTTTACCTGTATTACTCTATCGACACCAGCGGACGAAATAAATGCTTGCCTGAAATACTCTACTTTGTGGCGACACATAAAGACGTTACAATTAACTACAAATATGCGTGTCCAGCTGCAAAATGATCCATCAGCTGAGATATTCTCCCATCAAATGCTGGAAATTGGGAACAGAAAGGTACCGGTTAATCTGACCTCAGGACGAATTTCATTGCCTCATAACTTCTGCAATTTAGTGACGTCAAAAGAATTGGTTGAAAAAGTACTTCCCAATATTCAAATCAATTATAAGAATCACGATTGCTGAGTGAAGGAGCTATTCTTTTGGCCAAGAACAAAGACGTCTACGAACTTCACAATATTATTCAATCTAACGTTCTAAGTGAGGCAGTCACATACAAGTCCGTCGACACTGTTGTGGAAGCAGATGAAGCGGTTAATTATCCAACATAATTTTTGAATTCACTTGATCTCCAAGGATGCCACCACACATACTGCAATTGAAAATCGGCGTGCCAATTATCATGTTGCAAAATATCAACCAGCCAAAGCTTTGCAAGGGCACGTGGCTTGCAGTACAAAAATTAATGAGCAACATCCTAGAAGCAACAATCTTGACACGACCTTTCAAAGGTAAAGGTGTCCTCATTCCTCACATTCCTATGATTCCAACCGATATGCCATTTCAATTTAAGAGATTGCAATTCCCCATTCGATTGGCGTTTGCAATCACCATCAACAAAGCTCAGGGCCAATCTTTAGAATTGTGCTGTTTAGATCTAGACGTGGATTGCTTCTCACATGGACAATTATATGTTGCATGCTCTAGAGTCGGCAAACCAATCTCTATATCTGCACAGACAATGGAACAACAAAAAGTATTGTATACCTACAAGCATTGTGAAATTAAACATATTAGAAATGTGCCCTTTCTCCTTTCTTTCTTTTTCACTTAACCAGACTGAGCCACAGCAACGCGTGGCCGGGTACAGCTAGTATAAAATAAACGGGTGGTGTTCCTCGCTAGCCTGTTAAATTCTATCTAAAGTTAACCAATTACATCCATTGAAATCTTTTTCAGAAGTAAATTGTCTTTCCCATCCCACCTACCTCACAGGAATACTGTGAAAAATCATAGGATGACAGATGTGAGACCAAGTTCTGAACCAGCAAGTGTAGCCCTCACGTAAAGTCTGACCCTTATCCTCTGTCGTGGCTCACATCACCCCTCCCACCTGCAGTCTTCTCCAACCCACTCCCCATACCCCTCTCAAATCTCTCTGGTTCAAGAAGCTCTCCACCAGACCCTGAACTGGATCCTTCCCTTCCAATTCTGCTTTTACTTCTTGCTCTTGTCCTCTTTGCCTCCATGCCAGGGATTTTCATCTCCTGGTACACATAAACTAATTACTAAAACCCTGTAGCACACCAAAAATGTGCTTTGCTAATATGACAAAGAAAAAAGTATAATTTTGATTCATTCTCACCAGATGGCTATTGTTATATTGGCTGTTGTCATTTTTAAAAATTTGACAATCCAAGGGAAAATATATCAGTGCCCCTGACTAAATAGGCAGGTACTGCTTGTTCTACAAATTCTTGTGGCACCTTGGTTGAAAAACATTGCTCCATATTCTGGTTCTTATCTGGTTTCCAAGCATCACATTTGAAAGGCTCTAGAGCAGAGGTTCTCAACCTTCCTAATGCTGTGACCCTTTAATACAGTTCCTCATGTTGTGGTGACCCCCAACCATAAGATTATTTTTGTTGCTACTTCATAACTATAATTTTGTTACTGTTATGAATTGTAATGTAAATATCTGTGTTTTCTGATGGTCTTAGGTGACCCTGCTAGCGGTTCTCAACTTGTGGATCATGAGAACCACTGCTGTAGAGTCTCACTGACTGAAGCAAATAAGGGTTGATAGGCTGATAATGATTAATCTTAAATGCTAGGCTAAGAAAAAATTAAACTGATAATTTAAAAATATAACAACATAATTACTAGAATTTTCTGCAAATGTAAATAAACTTCTTTTTTACTTACTGAGAAATGTCTCATAAGTAAATTCTATAAGTTAGAATATGTGAGAATATTATATCCTCACTCTAATTACAACTGTATAATAATAAATATTCTATTTTAGTAATTAACCTCTATTCTTTCCTAAAAATATGTTTTTATTGATCTCAGAGAGAGGAAGGGAGAATGGGAAAGGGATATAAATATCAATGCTGAGAGGGAATCATTGATTGGATACCTCTTGGCACGGCCCCTACTGGAAATCAAGCCCACAACCCAATGAAGTGCCCTGACCAGGAATCAAACCGTGACCTCCTGGTTCATGGGTCAATACTCAATAATGATGCACTTTAGCTATCAAAAGCACATAAGAAATGTAAATATATATGTATGTATTTTAAGAAAACAGGATTAATATATTTTTAAAGACATCACCTAAACTACATGCCTAAACATGTGATTATTGACCTAATATGAATAATGTATTACTCAAGAATTATGAACAGTGACTTTGTTGTATTGAGTAACATTATATTATTATTAATATATTGTTTTAGACATTTGTTTAAAATTCTAAAAAAAAAAGATGTAGTATCATAACACTAGGTGGTGATAACTGATTTTAGAAATTAAATTGTTAAAATATTTCTAACATGTATTTTTTGAACTACAAAAACCATTTAGTGCTGCTTACATTTCAGAAGAAAAGGAGGGAAATTTTTACAAGGCTGTACAGTACCATTTCTACCCATGTGGGCTGCTCACCCCACTCCATCCTTTTCCTTTGAATGCTATAATCCAATAATTCTCAAATGTGTTGCTCTCATGCCCTTTACACTCCTAAAAATTTTTGAGTATCCCAAGAGCTTTCCCTAATGTAAGTCATAAGCAAATAATGATCAATGTTTTTCTTGTTAGAATTTAAGATTGAGAAATTTAAGAAAATGTATCGACTCATTTTAAAATAACAATAATATACCCAATGCTTGTTAATATAAATATTTTTATAAGAAAATAACTATTTGACAAAACAAAACATGAGTAAGAAGAATTACTTTGTTTTAAATCCCTTTTAATATTTGGATTATTAGTATACAGCTGGATCCTCATATTTATTTATAGATTCAATCTGTTGAAATATAACGTATCAGCCCTGGCCAGTGTGGCTTGGGACACATGTTGCGTTTCAGGCTTGATCTGAAGTAGGGGACCTGCAGGAGGCAGCCCATCAATGTGTCAACCTCTTCCTGTCACTTCCTCTTTCTGAAATCAATTAAAATATATTTAAAATTTTTACTGGGAAAAGGTACAAATAAGCAAAAAATATCAATGTAGAACTGCTATAACCTTACCTATCAGGCCATATTGGCAGACAACCCTTATATACTTTATCTGCATATCCTATATAATAAAACCCTGATATGTAAATTGACTGAATGGCAGAATGACTGGTCACTATGATGCACAATGACCAATAGGGGGCAGACGCTCAACACAGGAGCTGCCCCCTGGTGGTCAATGCACTCCCACAGCAGTGCTGCTCAGTCAGAAGCAGGGC